AGCATGCCTGAAAACACCGGCTCCTCGTCTGAAACCATAAAGCTGAGGGAAGACAACCTCGATGGACACGGAGCCGCCCACTRATCCACGCAGACACCGCGTAGTTTTAGAGTGTCAGCAGAGTGACGGGTCACATGTTTGCCAAAGTTCATCCTCCTCAGTGTGAGGAGAGCCTGATGAGGCAGAACGTTCATACGCCTCTCTGTGTGATGAACAACAATCAGGTTTTGATTCTCTGTCTCATCAGGCTCCAGATTTGCAGATTTTCACTAAAATTATATGAAATCCGAATGGAGTTCTGAATAAAAAATGACAACAAATCATATCATAGCTTTCTGAGCTGATCTGCGTAATAATCTGTGTAACAAGCAGTAAGTTTTGGCTTCAGATATCTGGAATGACTTTAAGAAAACTCAAATCTTAAGTCAAGTCAGGTAAAAGTAGCTTAAACTAGAATTTGCATTTCCTGCAAAGATGCCACGTGAAGGCTTAGTTCTGAAAGATTTTTTTAGAATAGCAAAAAAAAAAGGGCTAAAAATAGCTAAAAAGGAGAAAAAACGTAGCTGAATAGCACAAAACAAAAAGAGCATGTGTTTGATCATTTTAGCAGGACAAAGCTGAAACTATCACAAAACTGTGAATTTAGATTTAAAAAACCTAATTTGCTTAAAAGTAGCTAAAAACACACAAAAAAGCTGAAAGCAAATAAACAAAGCTGAAAGACTCATAGCAGAATGAAATTGAAAGAAGCACAAGAAAGTTGAAATCAGCAGAAGAAAAGCATCGTAGGTTAGAACGATAACTAAAGATAGGCTAGCCGACGGTTAAAATCTGCTAAATAAAAGCCGAAGGAAGCTGAAATCAGTACAAAGCAGTTTTAAAAAAGCAGAACTAGAAATAAAGGTGAAAAGAATAGTAAAGATTAATGAACATTTTTAAAGAGTTTTAAAGATGCTGAAAACAGCTTAATTTATTTTTAATGAGAAAAAGTGGCTGAAAATGGGAAATAGCTTAAAAGCAGTATAAATTGCTGAAATACCAAAAATCCTAGCCAGAATGTTCTGAAAGAGCTGAATGTTTTGATTTATAAATTGTTGAAATAGCACCAAAATAATGGAACAATATATAACGACACACTGCATAGCGGTAACATAATGACCCCCGCATGCAGAAATGCACCAGAACTCAGAAGTCTTTATTCATAATAAATGTCATGCTATAGGTGCATCCCAAAATT